GATTTTAATGCAATTTCACGAATAGATAGAGAGCAATACCAGGTGTGATACATATTTAATCAATAAAACTTTAAGACACTTTTTTTAAAACTATAAATTGATATAATATATCGTATTTTTTAAATTGATTGAAATTAACTTAAATTTAAGAAAGGCGACATTAGATTTTTATTAGATCCTACCCAGGCGAAACCGGTTCTCGTCGCTAGTTACTAATAAAATTAGAAAAACTACATAAATTCGTAGGGTAATAAAATACTTTTCTTTTCTTATAAGCCAGTGCTTGATTCTATTTTTTATTTACTTTTATACGTGGTAGAGCCATGCTGCAGTTATATTAGTAGTATAGTTGTAGCACGAATGGGTCGGCTCGACCGGTGAAGGACCACGCTCTCACAGAATACCAGCGTAAAATAGCAGCTTAACGCTGCTGTGTTTCGTATGGTGAGTGTAGAGAACCGGAGACCCTTGTAACTGGAAACGAGGCATTCCATTTTAGTCCTCACGTGTGACAACGCATCTGCATTTTGATTCGTAATCGAGGATAGATGTAGATGTCTATGGGCCACAGCAACCACTTACCATTAGGTGGACTGTGCGCTCGTTTGTCACCCTATCCTATAAAAAAAAACTACAACCCCACCTGTTGATGACCGGTGATAAAGCCTTAGAATGTTCAATCGCACTGTTTTTAACATAAGCCTATTCACTCTCGCTTGGTGTTCGCTTTACGAAAGTCACAGCAAACCGTTGGTTTAAATGCGTGTAATATCGACAACAAAGTGGTGAGCCCACCGTATGGTTGCCCGATGACGGGGAAAAAGGATTGAAATCACGTAAAGAATTCATACACTCAGAAATGAATCGTATAGAACAGAGCATAGAGAGGCTGGCTACTTTCCGCCTGTGCTACAGGTTGGTAAGATTGGGTTAAAAAAATCAAGTGCATCAATAAACCTTTTTAGCACGCCTCGCCACTGAGTCTTAAACTACTCGGTGACATTTTGTTGCACCAGCTCATATGTGACAGCAATGCTCTATGACCAGACTTGTGCTTTATATATGTAGGAAGCTTTCCCAGCGTCAAGGTCCGCCGCACCTTTGCAAATCACCTAGATTCCTTGCAACAGCTCTGGCTTTAGGCTATACCCAGTTTCCTAAAAAATATTGCTTTGACTTTAGATACTAAAAAGAAACAAACATAATGCGTATAAAGAATGAATGCGGAAAGAGTGACAAAACAATATTTATTCAACAGATGTGAGTGGCAGAAACGGCAAGAAACGTTCCAGATCGATGTTTATCGACCAAATTGGCGATATATTGAATATAGGTCAAGTTAAGAGTACCCTTAACCAACGAGCATGTGTGCGTAGATATTTGGATGCATATGAAGAGAGACAGGTGTATCAGAATCGTGCTAAATGAAAGACCATAGTCGCTGCTTACATCTCTGGGAAAAGGACGTGAGAGTTTAACTATTTTATGTTAGAATGGTGAAAAATTCAGTCTTGGAAAAAATCACAACAAACCAATCTGGGAGCACGGCCGTACCATTCTTTTCTCGATGCAATTCAGGCCATTTTCGACCCCCTATAACTTCGTAGTGGATAAAACTAGAAGTCTGAATTTTTAGTAACCGAGTAGACATTGTATAAACATGGTATATTTCAACTACTAAGCAATCTAATTTAACATAATATGTATTATTTGTGAGATACATTGTGTTTTCTTGCGATGGACAAGTCAATCTATTTATTTAAAACCTATAAGATTTTTAAACATTGATATGGTCACTATAAAATGTTTTTAGATTATCTAATTACATAATAATTTAAAACAGAAGGACCGTTAAGTAGGGACTGAATAAATTAACCGACTTGGTATTACATGGATCTCACAACTTATTACGGTAGAAGAACTGAGTTGCGTTGACTTGTTTTTTTTTTACAAGTTATGTTTTTGATGGCATTTATTTTATTCAACGTCACAGATCAATTGCTTAACATAAGCCTTCCACACAGTTAGAATACACGGTTCTGAGCCAAGTGCATCCATCATGTCCGGCATGTCTCACCAAATCGTCACTCCATCTAGTGAAGGGGCCGCCCTACACCCCGCTCACCGGTACGAAGCTGCCACTCTAGAGCCTTTCTTCCCATCGGCTGTCGATCCTTCGGGCTATATTTCCTGCTCGTTGCTACTTACGAGATGCATTATATTTGCCATTTATATTTCGTTTTTAATTTAAAAAAGACCTTTTCCTTAGAGCGTGTTTAAAAACATAGGTATAAACACCATTCTTTGTCAGGGCTTCTCATAGGTATCGCATCATTAAAAAAAAATGCGTACGTTTTAACAATTTTGTTCCTTTTTGTATGTAAGAGCTTTCAATTATTTGAATTCCCTATATGATGTAAAAATTGGTAATATCGCTACCGCATCCGCCCATATATCTAGAGCAACCAGATTATTTATTGTGTAATTTTCATTATTTTAACACGCCGTAGAGCCATGCTGCAGCTATGTTACGGTTGTAGAATGCATGGGTCGGCTCAACCTGGGAAGGACCTCGCTCTCACAGAATACTAGCGTACTGTTTGTTGTGTTTCATACAGTGACTCTACACTCACCACCGAAAGGGTCGCCACAACCGATGTGGCGACCCTTTCACTGGAAACGAGACATTCCATTTCAGTCTTCAGTGGGGACAACGCTTCTGCGTCTTAATTCTTAATCGAGGATTCTTATATAAGTCTATGGGCATCACCATCGACTTATTATCAGGTGGACTGTGTGCTCAATTGTCGCTCTTAATCTGTAAAAATAAGACTTAATAATAAATTTATGTTCATACTCGTAAATAACAATTTCAGTGAGGTTCGTAAACAATTACTGTCGCATTTCATTATAAAATGGTAAAAGAAACTAAATAAGGTGAGAGAAACGGAATTAACACCAAACCATTGAACATTACACGAAGTCGGCGCCTTATCCGCTTCCGTTGTGAACTACACCCGAATCGCAAGTAAAACGTTACGTGAATGCATAAATCCAATCAGCCCTTACGGAGCCCACTGTATTCTAACAGGATTACTGAACGGACATCTGGAGCATTCTATAGGAGCGTGGAGATGCAAATGTAATCATAGGTATGGTCGTCGAGTACGATCACATATAATACTAAATTTGTTTGCTATGACGAATTTGATGAAAATATATTCTCTTCTTTCTAAAAAAGTTATTTAACTGTTATTGTAAAGCTAATGGCGTTCGAAATTAAATAATTTTTAACAATAAATATTTAAATCGTACATTTTAAATTTTTAATAATGTAACGAACTTAGGGTTCGTGACAACAAGAAACTGCCGATTGAATTACCAAAATTGACACTTTAAGTATCGAAACCAATTAAAACTTAAATCGCACTAATAATTAATCACACTTCACACTTTAGTTCACTATATTTCGCTCTGAAACTTCGCTTGTATCGCCAATTCAATACTGCCCTGGTCGCAGCACTAAACGGCTTTATATAGGCTTTTTCCACCGAATCATCTAGAATGTTCCAGCAAATACCGGTCCCGACCGACTAGGTGCAGAAAATTCGAGTGTGGAGTTTTTTAGAAAGCTTAGTTCTTCTTTTCGATACTAGATGGCGATCTCGAAAGATCTTGACGCTCTTATTTCTGCTATCCGCCATATACTGGATATTAATTATAGCGCGCAACAATAATATTTTTTACTTAACTCCAATGTTACAGCCTATTATTTTAAGTTATATTAAATGTATTTTATTTCTTCTATTGTTGCAATTAATTGACCGAATATGAATATGAAATTTACCTAAATTTCGTATCTCATACGTTAATATTTTACATTAACTTCCGTTTGTAGTTTCTTTCCTACATTTATTTATCTTTGCCTACGCCGAAAAAAAGTGCGACGTCTTCTTTCCGCAGCAAATTTCAAAATATCTCATGCGTTAATCCGGGATATACCATATATGTCTGTTAAATATTATTTCCAAATCTGTTTAAACGTTTATAAATATCTGAGTTTAAGTCACAAACATTCAAATATATTTTCTATAAATTTATAAGGTTTTTAATATATTTGTATTTAATATTGTACACAATAAAGTTTATTCCACTTCTAAATGATACAATGTATAGAAATGCCGTGATCGCTTACGACCAAATAGTTTCATATTTTCTGTTGCCACTTCTTATTGCTGGATGTAGTGTAATTCTTATTTCAAAATGTTATGAAACCCACAAATTCACATAGGTATTCCTTGTTCAAAGAGCTGTGGTTGCTCAGGGGCTAAACGCTCGCTGTGAATTTGTGATCATACGATTAACCCGAGTTTGATTCCCGTCGGCAGTGATGAAATTGTTTATTGCAATTTTAAGGGCAGATTTACGTGCTCGGTGGTGAAGGAAGACAACTTTAAGAAACCTGCATGCCTAAGAAATTAAATAAAATATATTTTTGAGACATGTCAATTTCGCTTATACGCATTGGGGTACCGCAGTGAATATTTCCTTGCTCTAATATCTTTTTTTAGAAATGAAAAGAGAGTGGTGCCAAACTATGGGCCGTATATAGGCTATAACTATATTTTACTTGTTTTTAAAGTTTGAGCGTCATAAGCTCATAAGTCAATGTTAAAACAAGAAAAATTAAAAAAGCTCTTAAATTTCTTACAATTCAATTATTCAAAACATTAAATGTTTAATATGAACACACGTGGTGGCTCAACCGGGGAAGGACCACACCCTCGCAGAATGCTGTTGTGTTTCGTATGGTGAATTAAGAGAACCGGAGACCCTTTTACTGGAAACGGGGCATCTTAGTCCTCAGGGGTGACAACGCATCTGTATTTTGATTCTTGACTGAGGATAGATGTTGACTATGCGCTCGTTTGTCATCCTTATTCCATAAACAAATGTAGTTCACACTTTTAGTTCTAACTAATTATCATCAATTTTAACAGGAGAGCTGTCAGAATTACATTCGCGTCTTGGTGTCCCTTGGCCCGGGGCGGTTATTGGTCTGTGGCACCAATAGCTTCAGACCATTCTGCAGAGAGTACAGCGTGCAGCGCGACTCATACCACATGGAAAGCGAGAACACCGGCCAAGCAGTCTGTCCATATGACCCTGAGCACAATTCCACTGCAGTATACGCAGGTGAGTTTACATAGTTTTATAAATATTTAAGTACAATGTACCAAACACTTTGAATCTTCTTACGTGGTAGAGCCATGCGGCAGCTGTATTATGTTTATAGTACATATGGGTCGGCTTAACTAGGGAAAGATCACGCCACACAGAACACCAGTGAGGTGAACCGTGAAATAGCTTATTGTTACTGCTGCGCTATGATATGGTGAGTGTAGAGAACCGTAGACCCTTTTTACTGGAAACAAGACAATCCATGTTAATCCACGGGGGTGAGAAGGCATGTTGCTTTTTGATTCTTAATCGAGGGTAGATATAGATATCTACAAGTCACAACATCCACTTACAATTGGGTGTATTGTATCCTCGTTTGACACCCATATTCTACAAAAAAATCTTAATGAAACAACTTTGTATCACAAAAAGTACGTTACTTAAGTAACAGATGTTTCATGCAACCAACAGGGTTAACCAAATTCGTTAACTATATAAGGGTGGAAAAATAGTGGATGTGATAAAATCACTATTTAGACGTTATTCAAGTTACGACCTTAAACTTATGATGTTCCATAAGCCGTGTATCGATTACGCGCTCCTGGCGCGCTCGCCATGAATGCCCACACCGACCCGTGCGTTACGCGGAATGCAGGCGGCAGCTGTTACGGTGTTTGACCGTTCCATATTGAATGGATGTAATTTAAAATAGTGGTAGAGCCATACTTCCGCTATATTATGGTTGTAGCACGAATGGGTTGACTCGTCCGTCGAAGGACCACGCTCTCACAGAATACTAACGTAAAATAGAAGCTCAATCCTGCGGTGTTCCCTATGGTGAATGTAGAGAACGGGCAACCTTTTTTACTGGAAACGAGGCATTCCATCTTAGTCTTCAGGGGTGCCAACGCATTTGCATTCTGATTCTTAATCGAGGATAGATGTAGATGTCTATGGGCCACAGCATCCACTTACCATCAGGTGGACTGTGTGCCCGTTTGTCACCCTTATTCTATAAAAAAATATGGATCATGTACGAGTAGCTGCCGCTTTCATATTTCTCTCCATGCATTTTCTCTGAGAAGAATTTCCCTGATAAAGACGACTTTTGCTATTCATCAGCAGTTCTTTTGAACCATATAACTTTATCAATTTACTGCAACTTTGGTTATTGAAAACAACCGTCCCAACAGGCGCGCGCGCTTAACTTCTTATCTTCTATAATACGTGGTAAAAAACCGACACCAAATGGAACGGTCCGCTCCACGTCTGAGCGTTCCAACGAACAATTTGGGGCGTGTTTCAAGTCGGTTACAATTTCACGCGGCTGGAACGTGCGTCAATGTTCGACCTCTTGGAGTGCATAATCGATACGCGGCTTTAGTCTACTCAAAAGAATAAAATTATTAAATTTTAGGGTTTATAACCTCAGTGTTAAAATTTTACTCGAAATGTCATCATCATTCAACTCACAACCACTCCCCCACCTTCATTCCATCTATGGGTTAGGGTGGATGCTACACTTCCCCTGTCGGTATGAGGCTGTCACTCGAGAACCTTTCTTGCCTATCGGTTGTCGGTTCTTCGAGCTATATGGCCAGCAATTTCAACTTATTAATCCGTTGGGCTATGTCGGTTACTCTGGTTTCACTGCTGATATATTCGTATTTAAGTATATTACGCAGAGAATCCCCCAAAGTATAACCTATACTTTGGTTCTTATATTTAAAAAATAAAGAATAATTTAAATTGGTTAAGCTTGTTATAGAGAAATCGGTGTAGGCATACATTAACATTATACATTAATACGCGTCGCTTAACGAACCTACGCATTTTCGAACTTGATTAAAAATGACGTATCTCAGCATCAACTAGGATTTTATATGCTTGTATAACTTAGCTAATTTAGTTAAATTGGCAATAACTTAACTGATTAGAGATAAGATATTAATATCTTATTTGAACGAAACATTAATTTCTTCGTATTGTTTCGTAAATCACGAAACTGTGGCGAAAACATCATAAACAAAAAGCTTCAACGTGACCTGCTCCTAACAAAAGGAAACCGAGTAGGATCCATGCCACTTGGTTGTTTGTCGCAAAATCTCCTTACTCCTTCATTGGTAAATTTATACCAATGTATTAAAATAAGGCATTGCTAATTAACGTACAATATGTACATTTTTAACGAAAATAGATCTTTTGTTTATTACTAGAGATCCGTCACGGCTTCACACAGGTGATTTCTGGATCTCGACAACAATGCCATCTATCGGGTCCAATTGAGTTTGAAACCATCCAGAGAACTACCAAATATACACAAAAAATTTATCAAAATCGGTCGATCAATTTTCGAGTTTTTGTGAGCCAACGGACATCAATTGATTTTTGATTGATGTCACAAAAAATATTTTACTCGTGTTACATACATAATACTATGACTTAGGTTGCTAGATATGGCCTTTAAACATCAAAAATATAAAAAAAATAAAAACATGTCAACACAAAATGGAAATGTTAAGGAATGGGATAATTAAACCTGAAATATATCTGTAAGAACAAAAATTGCGAACTTAAAGACAATTAAAAAGCTGAAATGGAAATAGGCGAGCTATCTAATCAGATGCAGGAAAGAGAAATGGGCTAATTTGTGGCTGAATGGTAGCCTAGAGAGATCTAAAGAAAGAGAAGACGACCGTTTCAAAGTTGGAACAACGACTTAAAAGCGGTTGCAAGTGTAATGTAAAGAAGAAAAAATCATGATCGGAATTTGTCGAATGATTTGGATAGACCTACGCTAAATCAAAACTATGTTGTCCGAAATCTGATAAATAATAAATTATTCAGGATAAATCTAAAAATACATAAATATTTTATAATTTACAAAGAATAAACTACTTATAACCGGTTTCGCAGAAACGACAAGAACAGTAACTATGTAGATAAATTTATAAGTTTATCTACATAGTTACTGTTCTTGTCGTTTCTGTGAAACAGGTTATAAGTAGTTTATTCTTTGTAAATTATAAAATATTTATGTATTTTTAGTTTTATCCTGTATCCTTAACTATGTAGATAAATTTATAAGTTTATCTACATAGTTACTGTTATCTCATATCATCTCAAATCTATCATATTATATCTATATCTACATAGGTTTCATTCCTGAGAAAAAAGTTTTATAACGGCAAATAACCGTTTTTTTACGTGGTAGACGCACGCTGCAGCTATATTATGGTTGTACCACGTATAGGTCGGCTCGACCGGGATAGGATCATGCTCTCACAGAATACCAGCGTAAAATAGCAACTTAATGCTGCTGTGTTTCATATGGTGAATGTAGAGAACCGTTGACCCTTTTTACTAGAAACGAGACTCCATCTTAGTCCTTAGAGGTGACAACGTATCTGCATTTTGATTCTTAATTGGGAATAAATGCAGATGACTATGGGCCGTAGCATCCACTTACCTTCAGGTGGACTTGTGCTCGTTTGTCACCCTATTCTATAAAAAAGACGCCCAGATACTTATTATACACACGGTTTAAGCTGTTTGATATATGCTTCTGTATACCTGAATGGTGTGGCGTAGATTTGCATTGATTTACTTACCAATGCAATCTCCTGTCTGTGCTTCAATGCGGTAACAGGAATGCGCACTTCCCGAGTAATTTTAGATGTTTCTCTCTAGCACTTTTAGAAGTATAACCAATCATTTTCTATGGTAAAATAGTAAAATAAAGTGTTTATTGTTTTCATAAAATAGAAATGGACTTTCAGTACACTTGGCATAATGACACTAAATAGAGTCCCCTTTACCTACACCATCATCATCATCATTACTGCCCTTCACAAGTCCACTGCTGAACATAGGCCTTCCCCAAGGTATGCCACAAAGCACGGTCCTGAGCCACCTGCATCCATCGACTTCTTGCATGTCTTACAAGGTCATCACTTCATAGTGGGGGTCGCCCTACACTTCGCCTTCCTTACCTACACTTACGATAGATTGTCAAAACTCGGCAATAAAGTTGAAAAAACTACTTTAATTGTACACCATTTATTTTTCTCTTCGTAGGACTGCCTTTAGCTTGCATATTACCAACAAAGTTAAAAAGATATAATAATAGTCAACTATATTATTACATCGGCTTGTAGTAACGGCGTAAGAGAATCCACAGCAGGAGCAGCGTCAAGGAAGGACAAATTGGCTGGCGCTCACAGAATACCAGCGTAAAATAGTAGCAAGTTGGAATGTTCATAATGACAGTAAAGAGAGCCGGAGACTCCTTATGTGATAACAAGACATTTTATCGTAGCTTTGAACAGCACATTTATAGAAACCAAGGATGAGTTTACCATCCATACCATCTGGATGACTGGCGGTCCACTACCGTGCGATTTAAATTAAGATTTCTTCCTCGCACAACATTCTTGTGGAATCGACTACCACCAGAGATTTTTCCGGTCCGATACGACTTAGGGACCTTCAAGAAAGGAGCCTACTCCTTTTTAAAAGGCCGGCAACGCATCTGCAATTCCCCTAATGTTGCAGCTGTTGACGGTCGGCGGTAATCACTTTCCATCAGGTGAGCTGTATGCTCGTTAGCCCCCTCTCCTATAAAAAAAAGTTTAGGGTGTTACGGACCCCGTCTTTTACGATATGTGGTCGTTCCTCACCCTTCATTGAGTAAACGAACGTCCGCGACAGGGAACAACAAAAGTGCAAGATGTCTGTTAATCAACTGTAATTACAACTGCAACTGCTAATCAACAAGTGGTAAAATAAAAAATATTCCACAACCGACTTCAATATAATATGAAAAATAAGAACATCATCAATGTAGTCGCAGCCAATTCAATACGCATTATTTAACCCTTAAGTACATATTGTATCAAAAATGATACGATGAGATAATCGATTCATAATTTTGTTAAACTACGTACATACTATTACGCTGTATGTTAAATATGCCCTTTGCCTAATCATCTTTTAGAATGTTTAAGTAGTTAATG